TTTTTTTTTTTTTTTTTTTTTTTTTTTTTTTTTTTTTTGAAACAGGATATCTCATTGGCCTAGGACTCTCAAAGGTAAAGCTGGCTGTCAAGGAATCAGTGTGTCTCTGGCAGCACAGCAGTGGGATTACAAAGGCACAATACTGTACTTGACTTACTTTACATGGTATCTGGGAATTGAATTCAGGTCACTGTGCTTATCTGATAAGCACTTTACTGAATCATGCACCCCCTAGACTGAGTCTTTGATTCCGGTTCTTTAGATATCAACCATGATTATTTCCCAGCCTGTTATTACACAGAAATAAGCAGCATTGATAGGGTGAAGCAATCACGAAAATTTTCAAGACTTTGCATAAGAAGTAGATAAAGCTTGTTGGAGCCGACTCCCCATGGTGGGAAGCTGTGCTCAGTCTTAATGCATGAGAGAGGGGCCTGGCCCTGCCCCAACCTATAGTGCCAGATTATGTTGACTCCTCATGGGAGCTCTTACCCATGAGGAGGAGTGGACTGGGGGTGGCCTGGGGAGAGGTGAGGGGGCACTGGAAGGAGGCAAGGGGGGGCAGGAGGAGGGGTGGGTGGGAAAGCCGTGGCTGGAATGTAAAATGAAATAAAAAATTAAAGTTGGAGGAAAAGTAGGTACAGCTTACTGCCAGAGACACACAAAAATAGAAAAAGAAAAAATATCTGCCAACATGAATATTATTTGTAATAAAGCCAAATGATTTTTATAGAATTCGTGTGAATGTAACATTAGAGCCAACCCAGCAAGCAACAATGGAAAAGGGAAATATTTCCACTGTAAAATTAGATTTCAGGTATGTCAGTGATTTCTGACCTCAGTTCGCTGTCTATGTTAATTTTTCGGAACGGAAAAGATGTCTTTAGGAATAGACCTAGAGTCTCAATTTTAAAATATCTTTTCCTGTAGGGACTTTAGAGAATCTTCTGTACTGTGTTTGGGGAACTGTATTGGAGGAGGGGAGGAATCCTTGAAGTCATTTATGGAGGCTGGTAGCTATTAGGATGCCACCTATAGAGGTCTCCATGAAACTCCTCTTCAGCAGGTTGCCTTCCTAGAACTTGCCTGCAAGGAACCAGGCTGTCAGGTAAATCTATGTATGGAGAGGAATTTTTAAAACCGCATCATATCTATGTGTGGGGCTTATCCAGGAGCATTTTCTTCAGGCTGGTTCTCTTTTGTATTTCTCTAATTATAACACTGTGG